ATCCGTGTGAACCCTGGTCTAATCATAGGCATTCTTGACACATTAAGCATTTCTTATCTTATTCATTTTAGGGTTGTTACAACACATGACCTACAAATGAAGCTTTTTGAGATACACAACACACTACATAACAACACAAACAACAAATACGATTCAATGTCACACATGAACCAACAAACAAACCCCAAATCCTCCCCGAACCATATCCAACGAACTACAAACGAAGCTTTTTGAAATTACAAAATAATTCAAAAAGAATAACTACCTAGCAATAAAAATATAAATCACTAAAAACAAGGCAAACCAGTACAAGTAAGCATTTTCAACCTTAATTAAATATCACTTTAGAAGATATCAACAATAAACTAGAAATGATGAGGACAACGACGCCTTGTTGTAGAAGAGGATCGCAATAGATTAGCGCTGATGTTGTAGAAAATATCACAACAACAACCTTGATTTGTGAAGAAATAATGGAACGAGAGGAGGAGAAAAACGAAAAAAGAGAAAAGAAAATGAAATTTAGTAAAATATATTAAATTTGAAATATGAAACGACTTTTATAGAGGAGAGGAGGAGAGTGAAGAGAGGAAAAATGAAGGGACGATTGTTTTAAAGGAGTTCTAATTTTTTTTGAATTTTGACAATTCAAAGTGTGGTATATGTTGCCACATATATGCATTCTCTTGGGGCACATATCTCCTTTCGGTGACATATCTTATATAGTACAATGTTGCCACATATATCCTTTTTGTGACATATGTTACCACATTTCTTCTTTCTGTGAAATATGTTGTCACATGTATCCTTTTTGATGATGCACATGCAGATAATTTTGTGTTGTTTTTAACAATAGAAGTTATATATGTTGCTCACATATACCACATTTCTTCCTTTCCATCATAATTGACATTTGTTCCAACAAAATAAAAATAATCATAAAAATCATTTATATTAATATCAGCAAATATTAACACTTCACCAATTGTTTTATACAACTTATTAACAAAAAGATAATTCATAATGGTATACATAATTACCTATCTAATCAATGGTGGTAACCACAATATTTTAATCGAACTTTGCTTTTTTAGGTCTAGACCTATGTGGGTCTTTATTTTTACTAACATAGTCATTTCGAGCCTTTAAAATCTCATAATTTCATAGGAGTGAATCATATCTCATGCGATACATTTCAGAACTAAGTCTACAAGATTGTAGTTCTAGTCTATCACTAAAAATTCAGTGTATGCAATAATAAAAAGTCCAGAATCTCAACATGGTATATCATCAATTAGAAAATACAATAACATCACATTACAACAGTCGTAAGACAAAAAATAATGTGATACTTACAAATTACTACTTCCTTGTTGGACAGTGCCAGTAACATGTCTGACTTCGAAAGAGTGAGATTTGTTTTTTCCTTGGTAACATTCAAGAACTGACCAGTTGGTTCGCTTTTTATGCTAAAAAAATTCACTTAACACAAGGTAATTTGGCAACATTGTAGACAATTTTTGAATATCGGAGGATAATTTTCTGTTAGTCCTAGATGAGGACATTGAATCATACATTTTATGCACCATTCCTTCCATGCAACAACTGTCATAACCTAGTGGAAGTCCCCGTTACAATTTACAGGGACATAAACATCATCTGTCAAGTGTCAAGGCATTCCACGAGCTATACAAAACCCTTTGATAGTGGCAATGATTTTATTCCCATATTCAGGAACAACACTAACATTATCAATGTATGTTTTGAATAAACAACTAGTAGTGGCATATCGATATTTAAAATGACTTTGTTGCTTCAAATTCTTACGCAAATAGTAAAAAATGACATTCACATACTGCACGGATGCATCTAACAAGTGTATCTCTGTATAAATTTATTTGTATATATTCATGTATTGTTCAAAACATAAAAGTGTACATGGATTTACCTCATCAGTCCATCACATATTGTGTTGAGAAATTACGTAGAACCAATCTTTATTCTTTGGAAATACAACTACGAATTCAAGTTGGTCAAACTCAAGTTTCGAGCATTCTTTGTCTCTTCAAAAATCGTGTAATTATTATAAATAATTATTTAGTGGACAAGAAGAAGAAATACTAATAATAGTTGAATGACCCTACTTTTTTGCATGATGCTTGTAAAGACCCTTGTTTATCCATTACGAGAAGGATGACATTAGTTCAGTTGAACCCTCGCCATCAATGTTAAAACCTTCAAATAGATATTGTCACTTCACATCACAACTACCAAATTAAATTTTCTTCTCTTTCTTTATCGCTATCGCTTTTTCTTTACGCTTCTCCTTTTCCTTCTCCTTCTCCTTATCTTTCTACTTCTCCTTCTTATTATTCTTCTTATTCTCCTTCCTTATCCTTCTCCTCATTCTCCTCCTTTGCCTTTTTCTTCTTCTCCTTCTTCTCACTAACATAGATAGCGTTTTGAAAATAGATTTTTTCAACCTCCTACACTTCAAAGGTTGTGAAATCTTCTTAGATCTTTGGACATCAATATTATAATACATTTTCTTAAAATATCATTGAGTTTTTTAACACGACTAACAAAATAATCATGTTGTTGCTCACATTCTTCGCATAGACAAAAAGAGTATTTGATGTTAGAAGAGAATCAACTCCAATGAAAGATTGAGTTGTTATCATGGATGAAGCTTCTTGTATCATTTCATCTACAAGGTAAATAAAAAAATATTGAGAATTTACAATTCATTATAAAATAATAATAATATTATGTTGCCACATATGCATAGTTTGTTGCCAAAAATTAACATTATGTTGTCACAGATGTACCAATGTTTGCCACCGATGTACCTACTGTTGCCACATATATTATCTCATGATTTCAAATAACAAAGTGAAATTTCATATCCAACAAAATTTATGAAATAACCAATACTTTTAACCCACATTAAAATCATTTTATCACATATAATTATTACTCTCAACAACCAAATTTATTATTACTTAATAATAGTAGTATATTTTTAAAAAAACGAAGAGTAGTATACTATAACTCATGTTCGACTTCCTTATTGCATTTTTGTTAGAATAACTTAGGGATAGTTTGGTTATTTAGTACTCTCTCCATCTCATTTTATGTGAGGCAGTTTTACTCGGCATATTTAAGAAAGGAAAGAAGACTTTTAAAACTTATGGTCTAAAATGAATAATAGAAATCTGTGGGGCTATAAATTATTTCATCGAGGGTAAAGTGAACATTTTAAAATTAAATTGTTACTTAATATAGAAATGTGTTATTCTTTTTGGGTCTAACTAAAAAAGAAAGAAAATCATATAAAATGGGACAAGAGGAGTAAATACTTAAACTTGTATAGAGTTAACATAGACACATGAGTTCTATGTAACATAATTCACACATGACACCATGTAGGATTCGAATAGCCATATAGGATGTCACATAGGACGTGTGTGTCTATTTATTTAATTTTATACACGTTGGGTATGTACTTGTGCTTATTAAAAGTTGAAGGCCAAAAAATAGATTTTTCAAGTGATTAAATTAAAATATTATTTAATGGATGAAAATGAAATTTTTTTTAATCCCGATCCATGTGAGGTAAAGATAAAGTGTATACTTATGCATTATATTTCACAACTTATGAAATATTTTTGCTTACAAGCAAACAATACAACTTTGAAATTCAAATTATATGTTTAAACAAAATATTAACTTCTTCTCATACAATTTTGTATCATGCTAAAAGAGCTTATAGTTGTAGGAATTCAATACAGCAGCTAGAAGGATAGAAATGACACAATGTATATAGAGCCGTCAATATGGGTTAGGCCCGTTGAACCGTCCTGCCTAACTTGGAATTTAATAAGGTTGGACTATGATTTTTGGAGTCCATTCAAGAAAAAATCTATTTAGCCCGGCCTGAATAAGCATGTAACACCGAAGGGGGAGTTTAGAAACCCAAAAAACAAAATCATGGCAGAAGAAACCCTAGAAGATCGTCTCAGTGACTTGCCAGACTCACTTCTACTTCAAATTATCTCCCTTTTGCCAACAGAAGAAGCATTCACAACATGTATTCTCTCTAAAAGGTGGAAGTATCTCTGGACTTCTCTTGATTTTTTTTTTCTCTACTAGACATTTTTGGGGAAGAAACCAAGGATTTCGATCATATGTTGAATGTGTATTGTCTCATTCCACTGCTCCCAAAATTACAAAATTTCAGATCCACTACAGTGGCCTGCATAACTACAAGTCTTATATAAGCCAATGGCTTGCTTTTGCTATCAAAAAAGAATGTATAACATGTTGTACTCTATTAACCTCCTCCCTACATAATGTCCTAAAAAATTTTAAAATATAGAACCCTTTGTACGAATTTTATCAACCAATCTGGACAAATTACAGAAACTTGTGGGGACTTTTGTACCTTTCTGCTATACTTTGTCAGCTTTGGAACTATGTTATTTCCTTTATCTTACCCTTAACTAGAATTTTCGTTAGATTTTGTAACAACACTATTTTGTTTGTTGTGAAGTGCTTTCTTTATTGCTTTCCCCAATGTTTAATAGTTTCATTGGGATTATTGCACCGGATTTTATGCATATTGCAGTTCAAAGGAGTGCCAATTCCAGAATTTGAATGCAAACATCTACTACTGGAGTTGCATTTGGAAAATCTTAGTTTGTATGGGACAACTGACCTTTTGCGAGCTGAGCCTCTTGTGGAGATACTCAACTTAGAAACGGAAAATAAGCCTGTAACTTTCTGGAACTTCTTCTTTTCTTCGTACATCTATTTATTTATGAAGTTTTAACAACCTCTCTTTCCCCTCCCCGCAAATTAAGTATAAGTCAAATAAATCATTAATTATCACTAAGAAGTTTTTCTTTTGTCATTGTAAAGCTACACTTTAATATGGTTGGTCTTGTTGCTTTCTTTGTGGCAAAGGCACTCTATAACAAAAGGGATTGTTGCACTTTCATTTTTTTATTGAGGATACACATGCCACAAATATTTATGATACACAATCATTTTCCAAGCACCATTCATGTCTGTTAGTTTTGAAATTTTTCTGCACCATTCATACTATGAAAATCATATTTTTAGGCTGGGTTGTATTCTGTCCCGACTATAATCTTTATCTCCAGATTGATGATCCAGATGCTATTTGGAGAGAAAATATTTTGTCAAAGGTGATACTATTGATTTGCACTATTATAATTCAAGCTCTGTGTTTCCCAACCTAAAGAATGTTGCCAGATTGTCATCTCCTCTGGGATGTGCATAAAGGAGCATCTCAACTGGGAATATATCAGGAAGCTTTTCAAACTATCTAACTTTTTGTTGATGAATGCAGTGGTTTTGGAGAAGTTTGTTATCGTTTCAAAAACACAAAGGTGTGAGATTTGTGGAATCAAGTGTGTTCAAATTTTTATCGCGATTGGCTAGTAATCTGAGATCCTCCGCTGAGTTTGTGATAACCTATCAAGAGTAAGCTTTCTATGACTAGACTACAATTATTTTTGTCTCAGAATACAAGAAATTTTCCCTTTTATTAAGTTTTTGATCAACTCAACACAATCGCTAATCTTAAACTTCTCTGTGTTATTAATTATTGTTATTTTGAAACTTACTGTTGGGGTAGTTTGGTGTGAAGGATAAATACAAATAGTCTTGGGATAAATATTTAGTGGCACTTAATTTAGTGTTTGGTTGGAAAGTTTGGGATAACTTATCCCAAGATTAATGAATATTACTGGGATAAGTTATTCCTTGTAAGGGCTGGTATAATAATCCCATCCTAATTTATGATGGGATAAATTTATATAATGACAAAACAATCCTTCAAATCCTCTAATTATGAACTTCCCTGTAAAGAGTACTATTGGTTTGAGTATTAACAACGTTTTGCTGGATTTGTTTGGAGGCTTCAAAAAGGAGATATTTTTAAGTAAAATAGGGTGATGGTTTTAAATGGTAAGACAACTATTCTTTCTGTTCTTTTATGTTTTTTAGGGGTTAAATCCTTTTTTATTTCAAGGCTAAAACTGAGTTTTTCAGAGGTTAAATCCTATCATACATAAAAATAATTAATCTGAACAAGATGGATTTTTGTTTTGAAAAAACAAAATAACTAAAAATCTTTATATATATATATATATATATATATATATATATATATATATATATATAAATAAAGAGAACCCTAAGTCTCTTTATATATATATAACCTTTTCACTCATACATTAGAACATAACTTAGAATTTCCTATTAACTATAGGAACAAGTTCACAACATATATCTTAGGAGAATTATATGTTCATAGAATGTTGCTTGATATTCATCTGCAATGAAAATGTACTGGAGAAATTATATAATTTGTGAGACAACAAGACATCAACTAAACAAATAAAGAATATTCGGAAGAAGATATATAGCTTAAAAAAATCATGGTGTGAAATAGATCAAACAGAATATGCTACTAAATCTCGATCAAAATTTTGAAGCACCAGAAACTTCACATAATAAATACTGTCAAGGTTTATATTTAAGAGAATTAACATAGATTTTCATTAATTTTTTTCCAGATTTATTTCCCGTCTCTTCAGTAGTAATTCTTTCGCGTTTATGTTGGATTAAACTTTTTGATTATCTTCTCAATGCAACATTAATAAACTAAATTTATGTTTTTCCTTATTATCTTTAAGTATTAACAAATGTCTAAAACCTAAGTTTAGCCCGCGAGAAGTGCGGGTAGATTAGCTAGTATACATATACACAAAAAGTTACATTAGAGGGTATTTTTTAAACTAAACTACTTATTCTTAGAAAGGATGTAATGATTATTATTTTTAGTAGATTAAACAAAATAATCAAGAAATAAGGTCAACATAACTAATCCTAGCATAACTAATCCTAGCATAACTTATCCTAGCATAACTTGCATTCAAATTAAACAACCCCTTATTGTATATCAAATGGTATAGTAGCTTGGTTTCTCAGGAAGTTTTAATTTGCTACATTTTAGATGTTGTGCATGTGCATTGTATCTAGACATATTTGAATTTTAAGAAGTAGACCAAAAGTACTCTTACGATGTCATTTTTTATTAAAGAAGTTTGATTTTATGTTAATAAAAAGAGTAGGTGAGAGTTTTTAAATTAAAACTTAGTTCTTCAAATTGATAAATATCCATCCATGGCAAACACACCCTTAAAGCAAACACATAAACAAAGATTTTGCTATTTATAAATATCATTGGAAGAAACATTATATAGTTTTCATTCCTCCGATACGGAGACATATATTCATCATAAAATGCAAAAGAAAATAAAATATCCTTTACAACCACAACTATTCAGCATTGACCGAATGAACTACAAAAGTAAATAGAGAATGCCTAAACTGTGACACAAGAATAAATACAAAAGTAAATAAAAAATCCTTTATGGCCACAACCATTCATTCTCCACTGGATGAACTATGATTACCTTTACGACAATAGCCGTCCATCCTCTATAACCGGATGAACTTTAATTTGAAACTTAATTGATCATTTGGGGGTTGCCGCTGACATTATTTCAATTGCAGCTTGGTACCTTTCTTCCACTGAAAATGCTTCTGAGAGTTGGTTTATGACACTTCCACCTTTGATCTCAATATGCATTGATCAAATATGTTTTAGATCAAGCAATAATAATATGCTTAGTAAAATCTAAAGAGAGTAATATATGTACACACACAATTTATATTATATTGTAAAAGTAGAATTGTATATTAACTTGGAAATATTCGGGGTCTTAGTATAAATATACAATCTTTCTACTTTTACAAGATAATATGGATAACGTGTCTACACATATATACTCTTTTCATATTTTATCGAGTATATTATTATTGCTTGGTTCTAAAAACATGTTTGACAATTGCATATTCAGCAAAAGGTGGAAGTGGCATAGCTCAATTCTCGGAAGCATTCACAGTGGAAGAAAGGTTGATAGGGGTTGAAATTGAGATAATGTCATTGGCAACCCCTAAATGACCAGTTTAGTTTCAAATTAAATTTCATCCATTTATAGAGGATGTACCACTGTTGTCGTACAGACCATCATAGTTCATCCGGTGGAGGATGAACGGCTGTGGCCGCAAAGGCTATTTTATTTACTTTTGCATTTTTGTGTGTATGCATTTAGACATTCTCTATTTACTTTTATAGTTCATCCGGTAAAAGATGAACAGTTGTGACCGTAAAGGCTATTTTTTTTTACATTTTATGATAAACTTCTGCCTCCGTATCAGAGGAATGAAAACAATGGAAAGTTTTTTGCAATGATATTTATAAATAGCAAAAATCTTGGTTTATGTGTTTGCTTTAAGGGTGTGTTTGGTATGAATGGATGTTTGTCAATTCCAAGAACCAAGTTTTAATATTCAAACTCTCCCCTTGTAACTCCAAATTCAAAGAACAGATAGTAATAAGTTTCACGCATATATAGTTGGACAAAATACACACTTGTTATCCACTCTTGTCATTCTCCATTGCAATAGTTTGTCTTTGGTTCATACCTTTTCATGTAGTATCAACCACAGTATGAATATATATATGTGTGTGTTTAGGTTCAGTCATATAATTATAACATGTTAGGTTCCTCCACACTACATTAGCAATGATCCTCTCAGGTTTTTATAAGCTCTAGTGATCTGAAATTTACCCTCTGAAGTCTGAACTACCTGATCTCTCGTTGTCCCCAATATTTCCTCATGTAAAGAATCTTCCTAACCATCCAAGAAGCTTGATAAGGAATTTCTATGTTGTCTAATCTTTGCTTGTTTGTGTAATATGTATGAAGCCACATAATCCATAACTTCCGTTTATTCTAGCTTAGTGCGCACAAAATTTACATAAAGCAGCCTGGTTCCACACATTCATTTTTATGACGTCGAGACCACGAGCTCCTTTTGGCAAACAAATCTTTTCCCGTGCAACTAGTGCTCTTTTTGTAATCACAGGTGACCCTGTCCATAGGTAACTTTGATAGACTGCTTCAATCATTTTAATCACCTTCTAAAGGAACTCCAAATCGAACAGCTCTAATTAGTTGAAGCCTTCGTCCATAAGATAATCCCCTAGCCATCCAGTTTGTAATTCGAGCTGTTATCTTCTCAACCGAAGGCTTACATTGCATTACTGTAAGTCTTTTGGAAGATAGTCACACCCCTAAATATTTGAATGGTAGGTCTCCTTTCTCAAATGATAATACATTAAGTATATATTGTAATTTTTCTCTCCAAAATGCACTTGGCTTTTTGTCATGTTGTCTTTCAGTCCTGAAACTACTAAAAATCTGTGAAATTTATCTAGTAGTAGCTTCACTGACATATTTGGATACGTGAAACATAATTTTCAGTGCAAAATTCATGAACTGAAGTACACCATGAAGAATCTTATTTCCTATAAGAGGTTTTATCAAACCTATTATCATATATTACTAAAAGTGGGAAGCTCCAAAGTGCAAAGTTGGATTACCATTTTACCCTACATTCAATCATAATACTATAAAATATTTAATTTATTAAATATTAAGTATTTAATGATATTATGTTATACTAAATACTAAAAGTGAGAAGGTGTATTAATATTATTCATTCTTTTAAAAAACAATGCATTAATTTTCTCAGTTACTCTCAAAAGGTTAAGAATTTGAAAAGTTACTTTGTATGGTTCAATAATATGGGCTAGATTCAAATGCAGACATATTGTATTCTTTCAAAATCTATGCATTGATTTCCTTAATTAATTTGAAAAAATGGATAAGTAATTTGAAAAGTTACCTTTCATGTATAATTATATATCAGATTCTCACATGCTGCAGTATAAAATGAATTTGAACAGTCATTTCCTAAAGTTAGTTAGAAGCTAACGTATAATGCAATGAAGTCATAGAGATTTGTAAAAGTTACCTGGCACAATAATTTTATGGGCTACACAAAGATCCTGATCAGAAAATGAATTTATTCACTTGTATTTATTGTTATTACAAAGCACAACTTTATCGAAAATGATATGAGATGAAGTTGAAAGGATCATTCTTGACCCATTTGTTTTATCAGGAGAATCAGGTAAGGCCGATAGGGTTCATTCAAACCCTCTTCGACGGAAAATTACACTATTTATATATTTGGTTTAAATAGTTTTTTATGTATATAGTAGATGTTGAACTTTTGTGTGTTCAGTTCTTCATATTTTGAATCCCTTTTAGTGTAAGTCTTAGTTCTGCCACTGTTTTATTGAATATGTTTTTCTCACTGTTGATTCTATTATTAATGTCTTTAAATCATATTTTGTGTTCAATTTTGTACTAAATGACTCATGGTTAATGTTGACTATTTGTTGCAATTTAGTGATTTTTTACACAGATTTATGCTCAATATTGGAAGTGTTGGAAACCATAACAATGAATCAGCCCTTGCTTGAATACAAGTGCAACACACGTACCCAGAGACTAGTAAAATCATACATATCAATGTAAGAGAAAATTTGGCTCTGTGCTGATGCTCCAAAAACAGAGCTCCATTGAAACTGTATGTCTATTAGATAGAAAAAGAAAGTGTAATTCCATTGAACGTTACACGAAAATTTGAAGTCCGTATGTCAAGCAGTTACAAACAATCAACAAAACTGACAAATATTGTTTGATGTATCAAAATTTCAATGTATTAAGAAAGTTGTACCACAAAAAAAGATTCACAACCCCTTGTAATGTTTCCAGATAACTAAATCCTACTTGAAGAATGGAGATCTTGAGCAAATCAAACATAGATCTTCATTATGCACTTAGTGTCAAATACATAGATTCTACTACTGACAAAGTAGCGGTAAACAAACTAGAAAATGTCACAACTGCTAAAAATTATGGTAAACAAACAAGAAAAAGTTAAAAAGAGAACCGTTTCACAATTAAGGAACTTGAAGCTACTAATGACAAAGTAGCAGTACGGTTGGAAAACTAAACACCTACAATTTTCCCTCTCTTTATATCGGTCATATTGTAATGACTCGCAAAATAATAGGTTGAACTAGAGCCTAACGTATGAACCTTATAAGTTTGTGTATAAATTAGAGATACACTAAGGTCCAAAAATTTGGCCAAGTATAAGTTTAAGGGAGGGTTCAAGGATAGTGAACGACTTCAAGGACCTTTCATGAATCCCACTTAAAATCAAAAAGTTCATCTTCCTCTAATATTTCTTCCTCTAAACTTAAGGAAGAAGAAGAAGAATCCATGGAAGCTTGGGTTTGGGGATTTCAAGAGAGTTTCTTCATCAATTTTCTTCAAAGTTTCTTAATATAGGTATGGTGATTATTCATCCTTAATCAATCATTCTTTCAAGGAGTCCAATCAAAAAGAACTTCAAAATCTTTCAAAGATCAAAACCCTATTTTCTAATCTAAGCATGGGTTCAATGCTAAAACGTTTTCAAAGCATTTTATATTGATGAATTAAGGTTCAATTGATTATTATAAGTTAATTTTACATTGAATTCCTTCAAGAACCCATGATTTCCCTAACTCTTTTATTCTGGAAATTGATTAATTATGAAAGTATTTGAATAGTATTTGTTTATATGAAGTTAATTTATGAAGTCATGGCATTAGTTATATCTTATATCGGTGAGATGAGGATCATGACCTACAAAGGGAAATTATGAATGATTTTATGTTAAATTGCTTATGTGGATGATGGAGGATGTCAATTATCTTACCTCTTGTAGTACCTTGAATTTATGGGTTGAGATTGATCCTTAATGATATAGAATTGGGATAGATTATGTGATCCACTTATGATGGAGATGATTAGTTATTGAGTATGAATGGATTGATCCATTTATAGTGGAGGTTCTTACATTATGGTATATGTTGAATGTATGTAGTGCTATTGTGGAAGGGTTATACCCACTTGACTTGCCATATGATTACATGAGTATACACATGCAATGAATGAATGAACTAATTGAATTACGATTATGTACATGTCTAGTATAACAAACGTGGATGTGTTGAGTTACATTGTCTATAAATCCTTGAATGCAATAGATTATGCATAACTATGATAGTATTTACATGCTTATGAACACTTTGAGAGGGAAGAGTATATGATGATAATATTGTTTTTGCTTTGTCATAGTAGGGACAATTAAACAAACACTCCATGCATATATATGATTATGGTGTATCCATGGTGTCGATTCAAAGTATAGTTCTTATATGCACATTTACACATTATGAAATATGAAATTTGCATGTCTATGATGATCCTATTGTGTTGATTGAAAGATAGTTCTATTGAAACACTGTTAATGCATGTAAAAGGATATCTCAAATGTATATTAGGGTTCTAATGGTGAAAGGTAGTTCTAACTTTGTTTAATCAATGAACTATGTTATGAACTGTATTGAATAAAGGCTAAAGTATTTGTTCGCACATGTAGATACAATCTAAATACTATTAATGTATAAGTTTAGGAATAACGTGTAGCACCAAGCGGATGAAAAATGAGGTAGAGACACTCCCGCTAGTTAGGCCGGTTCATCTACATATGGTCTCATGAGATGAAAACTCTCTCGTTAGTCAGGTCGTGTTTTTAGAAGCAATCTCTCTATCCCATAACTATGTGCCCATATATATATTAGCTAGTGGATCCAATCTAAAGCTAAATATATTAGTTCTACCTTAGGAAAGTAGGACACCTTTTTTAGGCGTGGGGTCATATGACACCAGATTCCATGTAGCTCACATGGTCTATGTCGGTTAAGGCTATATTCCCTCTAATGAAACAAGACCATGAATTATGAATACAAAAGTGAGTTATATCTATGGTTCCTCAAAGGGTTTACTTAGTATGAGTGGTAGAATGAGATGTCATTCATATGTTGCACAAGTGGACTTTGAGAGTAGTCATAGTGTGTTCCTCTTATGTTTATGTACTATGAATATACATTATGTTTATGTACAATGAATATAAATTATGTCATGTGTTGTGAATATTAAGTATGTTTATGTATTATGAATATACATTATGTTATGTGATGTGAATATTAAGTATGTGTATGTTCTATGAATATGAAGTATATTTATGAATTATGAATATGAATATGATTATGAATGTCTCTTTACTATGTGTATGAAGTATGGATGAGACTAATGTATGATAGGTATGACAATGGTAGTCCAAAGATAGTACTTAAAGTAGATAGTGTTATGGGACCTTGTCAACACATGACACAAGTTTAATTTAGGGTTACTTATGTGGTTGTGCTATTATGTGTTATGAATGTGCTATTAAGGATGTTGACTAATGTCTAATGAATGATGTACTCTTAATTAAGTTTATATAGAATGTTGACTTTAAATTCTTAAATATGTAGTAGAAGTGTACATTGTGTTTATTAGTCTTTTGATGATTACATGAGGTATTAGTGATGTTGTATAGTGAAAAAGATTTGACGCATTTAATAATAAGTAGGAATGATAACATGCAGTTAATATGAAGTGTTTAAAGAGAAGTACGAAAGTACCGTTAACTGTTAATAATACTAATATTTAAACATTATAATAGAATATAATGTTAATAAAGCTGATAATAGTAATGAATGAAATATTTCGAAAATGACCCTAACACATTGAAGAGTATGGGTTGTTGAAGAATCCATTATGTTTGCACATGTTTGTTTGCATCTTCTAAGCCTATGATTTGAAGCGATGTAATGTTGTTAGTATATAGTATCTGTAAATAGTTAATTATATGTGTTAGAATGACCATATATGTATATGGGGTTATCGTACCTAAAACTTCCTTATATATGATGTTCTTTGTGTATGTTCCTTTTTGACGTTTGGGTTGCTCAGTTAGGACAAGTACTTTTGTTATGGACATAGATATCCCTCTTGATAGCGCCACGTACAATTGACCATGTGAAAAAACATGTAGGGGCAAATACAAACCAACATTGTGAATTGTTTGACCTTGAGCTTTATTTATAGTCATTGCAAAACAAAGGCGTATGGGGAATTGCTTTCGAATGAATTTAAATGAACATCCTTCATTTTATGGTGGTGATAGTTGTATTCTTGGAAGAAACACATGTTTTGTTGCAAAATGGCCACTTGATATTTCTGGATGCAGGACATTTTGAGAGAAACCTCGACATATCATTCGTGTGCCGTTGCATAAGCCACTTGAAGGGTCCAAATTCCTTAGAAACATGATAGGTGCACATTCCTTCAATTCTAACATGCATTTAATAAGATATGTCAAAATCTATCCATTTTTTTTATTTTTCCACCTCTTGTAAGTTGTAATGTATTATGTTCAATACCTATGTGGTGGCAGACCGTTTGGTGTTAAAGTATTTACATATTCTTCTTGGTTATAGTTGTTGGTGTCATCTTCTGCTGAGTCATAGCTATTGAATATCTTGATTTCTCCTGGGAATTGAGATATTAAATTGTTGTTAATTTTATCCACATGGTCATTTCTGCTTGCTAAAATAGCTCTTTCAATGACATATTTTGCTCTAGCAGCATTTTCTTGCAGGTTTTGAAATATCTCCTTTATTATGGATTTTTCTGGAATTCCATCATGGGAATGTTTGATTGTTAATTGTTCTGGGAGGAGGATTATTTTTTCTCTTATTGTTGGTTCATCACCGTTACCCACTCGAAGTAAGAACTCACTGAATGTAGGATCTGTTCTTGCTCTCATATTTCTAGTAAATTGAATCTTCTCCATCAAAGGCCAGAGATATGATTTGACCAAGCTTGCATTTACAATTTCTGCTCGAGTTGATTTTGGAACTACAGGTACACCTACCGAAAATCATCTCCAAAAAAACGTGACTTTTCAGTCGAATGGTTTATCGATGTCCATTATGTATCTGAAGCTCCTGTAGATTGTTTCTATTGTTTGTCATTTGGCCATTCATGTTTCATCCCATGTAATCACTTTTGCTTTTCTAATCAATTTGGCAGCACCACTTTGCTATGAAATGTTTGTCATAGTTGATTCACTCATTTGAAAAGGGATCTCAAACCTTGAGTGTGCTATACGTCCTCCTAGTAAGATTGAAGCAGCTATGCCACTGGTTGCTGTTGCCAAACCTATCATACCTCTTGATCTAACATTGATAAGTAATGCATGGTATATGTATGTTTTTCCAGTTCCCCCTGGTCCATACACAAAGAATATTGCAGTTGTTCCAGCATCGATTGTTTGCATTATTTTTATAAAAGCATGATGTTGTTCTGGATTTAATTGTGACTGTGCACCAAAATCTTCTGGTGGTATTTGCATGGACATTTCTTCATTTATTTATCTACATTCTAATGAACCAACTTCGAGGAAATTGTGATCTAGTTGAGGAATGTCATATATGTCTATGCTTTTGCCCATACTTTGCAAGCAATTATTAATACTATTCAGAGTAGACTGTAGTATAGTATTGTGTGAGTTTCCATATAGCCTTCTTAAGTCCTCTGACATATCCTCATAATAAGTATCGCAGAGTTCTCTAATATCCGTTGGGTTACAATGAACCAAAATTGTAGCAAACAAACTTCTAAGAGTGAATGGCATTTTGAAGACACAGCCTCTCTCAAACATTCTGATATGTTGTTGTCGGAGTCAAGTAACCCTCTTTCTTTGGCTGCTTCTTTGAAGGTATGACATTGCATGCCATTGACCGTGAGTAAGTCGTTGAATGAAAATGGTCCCCTTACATGGTTTAGTAACAACCTCTCATAATATGTTTCCCCTTCTCGAGGATTAGTTGTGCAATATAATCAATATATACTAATTAATAAGTTTAAAAGTTATCAATGTGTATTATTTTATAGCTTACTACATTCAGGTTACCGATTGCAATGTGACCAATTACAGATCTTGTTTTCCTTTTTGTCCAAGTCTTTACCTTTGAATTCCAAACATAATACTTTGGGAATTCTCTATAAAGATATGTTTTTGCTTTAGAGTCTGAAATATTCGGTCAACATTGTTTGCTTGACAACATCCCAAGCGATGACATTTTTTAAATTTTGATTTTTCCAGTAAAACACTGTGATTTTGTTTTGAGTTAGTATTTGAATTTAATCTTAATTATTTTATAAATGAATGTGTATTAATGCATTAATATGTGTACCTGAATGTTTTTCTGGCAGATGTAGTTGAAGGTTGATTACTGCAGGTTGCATTTCAGTCAAGTTGAATTCATATATTCTCCATAGTGCTTCAGGCGGTGAGACCCATTGCGCATCTTGATATGATTGTATTTCGTCAATAACATTTTCACCATCATCAGACTGAATATAAATTGCACATCGATCATGTCCTTTATATATACTTGTATAGATACTTTATTGCTTTGACTTCTGAGCAAACCTCAACATGAATGTGACCATTGTATCTTGTGAGCAGATAAGGGCTATAAGGTACTACCCGTTGATTTGTCATATGCATTCCACGAACAATCTCTATTCTTCCATCCATTCTTCTTTTATATATTGGATATCCATCCTTTGCTTGGATTGATTTGTTGTTGTATGGCCTTGGATAATGATATTTACACTGTCCATTTTGCATGCATATGTTTGTTGGACGTTCGTTTCCACATGGACCATGTATCATATATTTGAGCACTAATTTATGCAATATAGGATACTTATATTTATCTAGAATCTCTGCTGAGATAAACCTATCGTACTGATCTCCTGATTTGATGTTGTGCCCTTCTTTTAATATGAGAAGGAGGTGTATGTGTGGTAGTCCTCATTTTTGAAATTCTACCACGAATACATGAGCAAAAACAATTCCAAATATATCTTTCTTGAAAATTTGGTCATTTAGATCCTGTAACTTAGCTCTGAATACTCTTGTTACCAAGTCAGGTCTATCTTGAGGAGTCTGTCCGGGGCGTAATTCTTGTTGGATTTCAATCCAGTGAGGATTGCACATCATTGTTATAAATAGATCTGGCCTGCCAAAATGTTGTACCAAAGCCATTGCATTCATATAGCATTTTTTCATATCTCGTGGCCCCCCAATAAAAGATGATGGAAGTAGTATTCTTTGCCCAATTCTATCTCCCCTGCATTCTCCCTAGCTGACACTATGAACAATACCTTGATAAACCTCTCTTCTAAAATTTGATTGTTCCTTTCTGAAATATTCTAGCCTTGTTGTTTCCAATTTTATGTACATGTCAACCACAAATTATTGTAGTAATCTTCCACATAGTAGTAATACTGACCTCTCTGTTTCTCGTAGTTGTAGCTTATAACAATAGTACTCTCTGCAAGAAACATTTCCCTTTGTCTCACGGCGGACATCTACAAGGGAAAGGAAGCATATTAATATTATTTTTATTTTATGTTGGTTATCATATTGGTATAGTAGAAAAATGTATTTTCTTATAATTGTATTTTGTACGCCTTTGGTAGTATTTTTTTATATTGTGTATGTGTTTTTTATCAGTTGCTTACTTGTGAAGAACATGACTACATTTCAAATGATATGAATGTTGGAATATCATTGACTATAGGTGGTGAGTGAGCAATTCTTCTGTGAGGCAGTCTTTTGCTCCGTTTTCTTATTCCTTGATGCCATCCACCTTCACCTCTTGGGAATAACAAAGCATATTGAAGAGGTTCATAAAATCAAAATAGTGTTTTACTCTAGTTTGTACCCTGAGTGCTCATGAACAATTATTTCTCGATCAAAAGGTATATTTGGATTGTTTCCATCGATCCAAATTGCTGCTACTTGACTTACCGAGGATCTGTTGTACACTCGTTGACCTAAAGAGGCATTTGCAACAATACGAAGTTGAAAATTGTGGAAACTTGTTTGGTTTTTTAATTGGCAAAATATTTGTGCATATGGGTTACTCTCCATTACCTGTTTGATTTTTGTTGCAATATGGTCTGAAAGAATTCCTTCATTCACCTTTGATATCAAGTTGGTCAATTCGTTGTCTGTATCAAAGAAGTATAGTTGGAAGTAACATGGATTGTTATAACGTGGTACCAACGATGGTAGATCGTGATAAATTTGACCTTGTGCCCTAAATGTGTATACTCTTTTTTTGCAAATGCTAGTTCCTTATCCAGGTTAACACCAATAGATGTAAAAGCAAAGTTGCCATTATATGCACGAATATTTTTGCGAAACTCTATCGAGTCTGGAGTAGATGCCACAAACATTTCATATAGTTCTGTTGGTGCTTCAGTGTTTGTCAATTTGATATATCTGCTTGCACAACAGAAAGCTGGAGGTTCATGTTCCGATCTTTTTGCGGCAGAATAAATAAATTCTGGGACGACTTTCGGCATGTGCAGATATGATAAAGATAAGTTATATGCAACAATTCCTATATATAGAAATATTTTTAGAGATATGTTAGAAAGGTAATTTGATAAAGTTATTGAATGTTCAAGTTATGTAAGATATGAATAGGAATTTCCAATGTACCTCTAACTTCAGACTCTTCAGATAATGATCTAAATAGCCAATTGATTTTACGCTGCTTTTTCAAACGTGGATGTTCATCTTCTAGATGTGATATTATTTGGGTTGCTAATATATACTTATCCACTCTTCGCAATTGACTTTTCTCTATAAGGGAACATTTTTTAGTACATTTAGACAAAGGATGTAATATTTTTATATGTGTGTATGCGAATATGTTTGCATTGTACTATGTTCTCATGTATTTTGGATTTTACATGATTATGTAAGTTCTTACCTGTGTTGCTGAAATTGTTTTTTGTATGGTTGTCATGCTGATCAGTTTTACTGGTAGAAGGAATGTTTTTTCATTTATCACCTGCTTAATTTGGCATGAAAGGAGTGGTGATATTTGTATCACCTTTGAAGTGAAGTGAATAGAAGGGTTAAATTTAATTTTTAATTGTGATAAGTACTTAACATATTAGATTTACCTCGATGTTGGTTGTGTGGCATTGTTGATTTGATGGTGATAAAATTTGGATGGTTGGTGTGACACTTCTCTTATCTCTTCCTATTTAGCATATGTAATTTACCAGTGATCTAAAACATAACGGAATCATTAATGGCAATTGTAGTCATATATTTGACATATATAGGAAAAAACATCTATTAGGGTAGGATGTATGCAAACCTTTTTTGTGTATGAGGATATAGGGTGCAACAGAAGATTGTTGTTGATATGTTTTGAAGTAATAAAAGCATAAATTGAATGTTTAGTGAAGCAGTTAACAAAATTCATTGATATTCGAAAGTAAGTTAAAAATAAAAGTGATGTTAGGTGAATTTCTCGGTGAAAAAAGGTAAGTCGTTTTTAAATATTAGGGAGATAATAAGCATTGGTAGATAAAAATAAGAAAATTTTAAATCAACTATATATTATTTTTTTTCCTCTTTGATCTTCTTGTCCATCGGATAGGGCATGATGTTTTTTCCTTTAACTTTCCTGGTCCTTTTTCTTTACAGTTGAATTAGTGGGGCTTCTTCATCATTTTCATCTAGTACATTCTGTTTTTCTACCTCATGTATCCTTACTTTTTGTGGATTATCATCTGCAATGACTTGCTTAATGTTGTCAGTCCTCTTGCATGTATTTGTTTTTTGTGGATTTTCAATGTCAATTTCAATTTGCTGCAATATCTTTTTCAACTTGAGGTATGCCTGCAACTATTTCTTTCATTTTTTCATCATCACTTAGTATCTCCATCCTCTTGCTTCTTTGTTTTGTAATTGGCATTTTAACCTTTGTTTGATCTATTTGTGTCAACATCTGGGAATTTACGATCAATCTTAACAAGAATACTGAATTCTTTCCCCTTACTCAATACCATCTCGCGATAGTTTGGTGATTTTTCTTTTTGTGGAATATGAAAACGTATCTATTAGCCTTTCCATTGAAATAGGATAAAGTTATTTATACATGACAATATTTCATAGAGTAAGTGATTTACCTTTTTAGATGTAGAGAGAACATACTCTTTTACGTTACAATCAAAATAGTATTTTGCAGCATCAAACATTGTAAAGCTTAGAAATTAATCCTCAGCAGTGACATCAATCTTTAACTGATATCTAAATCAAATTGGAAGTTTTAATCAGTTTGACGCTAATTATTTGATAGCGACATAGTAAGCTCATTAGTTAATAATATTTTTTTCATGCATCTGGAATAAGCAATATTTGTTCTTGGTTGTTTGTGTAGTTTACCTCGCCTCTTTATCAACATCTTGAGTTCTACAGTAGGTACAAGTTGAACTACTATTTATAAAAGTAACTCGCTTGTAGCATTTGTTGCAAGC